TTTTTTTTTATATATATATCATTTAACTTTCAACCATTAACCATAAGATATCAGCTATAAGCTCAAATTTGTGAGTGATTATGGAAAATAAGAAATTTGTGGATGTTCCGGAGTTTGCGTGAATAGACATGGGCCGACATCTAGGCCCAACGCCCATATGTTTCGAATCCCTACGAAGACCCAAAAAAGGAAATGCAAATAAAAAGAGGTACAACAACAACAAATAATAATTATAATAATAATAATTAACATTTTTTTTTTCTTTTTCAAGTCTAAGCATAGCATATGAAAATTGTGAAATTGCATGATCATCTTCATATCATGCTACTAAGTAGTAGAGAGGGGATTAAGTAATTGTGATGAAATTGCATGTAATCATCTTCACACAATGCTACTAACTAACTAAAGTACTAAATACTAAGTAGATAGGGGATTAAGCACTTGGCCAGCAAACAACACCACACCGCTCACATCTTCCCTCAACACAAACATGAAAGGATGGTCAGCCACAAACTCCTTTCTCTCATACAACCCACACCCACCTCCACGCAAAGAAACAACACAAGCACTAGCAGCCTCCGTCCCATGCTCGTCCACCTCGATGCACGACTTACAAAACAATCCCTCCACGTAAAGTTCCTCTCCAGCACTCAACTCACGAACCATCTCGGTCAAGCCACCTGGCAAGAAAGGAAGAACCAATCCCTTCCCCTTGAGAACCTTAGACGCCTCGAAATCCGAACTTATTTTGAACTTTGGGATGAAAAAACTATCTAGATACACCAGTTCGTAAGGGGCGTGGCACTCTACGAACCCAGAAGCGGAACCCAACTTGTCAACTAGAGATGTGAGGCCGTCCCGGGCTTCCGGAAGGAAGAAGTACATCGAGAACTTGTGCTCGCTATCACCGCCGTTTTTGTATGGAAGCCTTAGGACTTTGAAGCCGTCAAATGCACGATAGTATTGGGGCTTTTGCATTGTCATGAAGGGCGCACGAACAGAACTACCGTCCAAAAGGAAAAACTCACGGTCACTCGTCAGCAATTTGTGGAATGGATAGACCCAGGTTCCTTTGAAGTAGAGCGCGGTGGCAAGGATAAGCCTCGTGCGAGTATGAATCGAATCGGGTGGTAGTATTTGTTCGATTAGGCCATTTGTTTTCTCCTCTACCCATGCATTTGCTTCCTTTTCTACCTCATTGGCCTATAGGTAGAAAAGCACATATATTGTCCAGATCAAACCAACAGACTGAGCATAAAACATGTATAACTCAAACATACAACCAAATCAACTAAAGACAATTTACAGGGGAAATCAAAATTCAAAAGTGAACTTTAGGGATCAATCAATCATCAATGTAAACTAACCTTAGACTTAAAATCAACACTTTTGAGAGTAGCCTTACAAGACCCCACGACGAAATCTTCAAAAGCCGGCTTCAAGGTAAGACTTTGTTCGACCCAAACGCCGTTGGCCAACGACAAACGGGGCCCACCCAAAGATCCACTGTCATTCAACATCGGGGTAAAAAGATGAGAAATTAGCAATTCAAGTTCATTGATGGACTTGGACCGGAGAAAGCCCAGGAGCTGGGTTCGGGTCGTCCCGCCCGACCCGAATGCCACCATGCTCAAACCAACGTGCAAGAGTAAGGGAGAGAACACGAAGTTGCGGTTTTTGTTGTCTCCGGTCGACATGATTTGTTCGGCCAGCTTCAAGGAGAAGTCGGTTTGCCTGGCGACGGCATAAAGGATATCCATTTTTGTTGCTAGGGTTTGATTTTGGGATTTACAGATCGAAGAAAAAGAGGAGGAAGATGAAGAGAGAGAAGAAAACAAAAGTTGTGATTACTTTTTTTTTTTAAAAAAAAGTAGACTTAAAGAATCTTTGATGTGACTTTACGAAATTATCATAAACTAGCTTAGGACATTAACACAAAAATCTTTCTCCATTATACATCTGCGCGTTATTATACGAAATATTATACGAAATATGCGCGTTATTCTCCTGTATTTTAAAAATTGCGTCATACTCTTTTGTATTATACTTTTGATTGCGCGTTATTCCCTAAACCGTCAACTTGACGAATGTGCATTTCACTCGCGTGTGGTGCGACTTTTTCTCCATTTTTTCACCATAAAATCAGAAAAATGACTATTTTGCCCCTTAATACCTGAATTTTATATATATATATACATTATTATATTTATATATATATATATATATATATATACCTGCCTATTATATATATATATACACCTGACTATTATATACAGGAGCGTAGCCAGAAAAAAAAAATACCTTGGGCTGATCGATTTTTTAATTTCAATTATGTGCTAAAATTTATAAAGGAAAAATAGAAAATAGGTTTTAATTAACAAATGCATATAAAATGCTTCATGTTCATTACAACTATTTAAAAAAGGTAAAAAGAAAATGTTACCTATTTAAAATGCGCCCTCTGATATTTCATATTATAAAACTCGTATCCGGTGACTTAATACCTTTTTTTCACAAAAAGATTGCACGTACATGAGAAGGGTATCAAAGCCTGTTTCTCTAAGAGTACAAAGCAAAGATTTTGTAGTTGACACAAAATTCATTGCATTTAAAATGTCTTAAGACTTTTTTTGCAAAGTTTTTTTCTTTCCTTTTGTGAACATCTATTTAAAAAATCAACCTAAAAACATCAACCAACAAATAATATTAGTAACATATTTCAAGTGTAGACTTTGCAATACATTTATTTTTTACATTTTAATTTCAATTTCAAACTTAAGAATATTTAATATTCATTTCTTACTCTATTGGTACACATTTTAGAGAGAATGAAATCCCCTACAAATCAAAATAATAATAAAATCCTCAAATTTCACTTACAATTCATAAACGAAAGTTCCTCAATTTTCTCAAACATCCCCTACAAATCCTCAACCAACAATTCATAAACGTAAAATAAAAAAAATAAAATAAAATAAACAACTCATAATAACCTCAAATAATAAAATCCTCAAATTTCCTCAAACATCCCCTACAAATCCTCAACCAACAATTCATAAACGGAAATATAAAAAATTAAAGAAAATATATACAATTGCTATTTGCTTCTTCACAGTTATCACGCTCTAAAGACTCCCTAATTTCATTTTTCTCGTGTTTTCAAAATTCTAAATTTCACTTTGAAAAGATGCTTGTTCACTTCATTGAATCATATTTGTATTTTTCTCCAGTTTTCATCAAGAAACTGAAAGCAAACCCCTAGTTAATTATAAATAGGATTTAGGAAATAAAGCATTTCTTAAAAAAAAAAACAATTAGGTAAGAGAAGGAGAAGCAGACCACCGGAAGTTGCTCAAGTAGACGTCGGACGCACGACAAAAAAAGGCCTAATTCTTTGTTCGATCCTCTGTTTGGAGCAGGTTCTCGGGCGGACTCCAGACGACCTGACGGACGGAAGAGGACGAGATGTTAGCCCAGGTGAGAAAATAATGAAGATCTGTTGATTTTTAGGGAAAATATATTTTCTCAGATTCTCAATTCTTTAAGTTCAAACAAGTTACAAGCATATTTTCAGAAGATTTTGATGTTATTGGTGTAACTGTTTGGTATTTGAACTTGGGCTGCCATTTAATTATTGAAGACTTAGAGTTGGGCTAGCTAATTTTCTTAACTGGGCTAACTGGGCTAATTTGCCTAACCAGTTTTTATTTTGAGAAAATTATATCCTGTACGATCAAATTCAAATTTATTTGCATAAATAATCCCCTTTTATATTTATTAGCATATATACCAACATAAGCAACAATAATTGCACTTTTACTAGAATTTGATCAGATCTCATATCTTAAATTAATTGATAAATTTACCAACTAATTAATGGTATGATGATTATCATTACCCAAAAACGGTCCCCGATGTATATGGTATGAGGATTATCTCACTCCCCCAAAAACCGCCCACTATTTTCATGTCTCTTCAAATCTTCTACACTTCATATCTCTTCTTCCCTAACAAAAATATTCTGCAGAACCCTAAGAATTCGATACATTTCAGATAATGGAAAAAACTAAGATTGGAAGAAATCCAATAACGTACGCCGAGTCCTCTCCTCATCGAAGATCGAGTTCTCGTCTCAAAAATATACAAGTTAGCAAGAAACCAACCCTTGTTCAAAAAAAGTTGCAATTTGAGAGGAAAGTTAAAAGCAACACCAATCGGAAGATTTTCGGCAAGAAAAATCAGGCAAAGACCGATCTCTCATCCGATTCCGATGAATTTCAGTCGGTCCCAGGCCGCAATCCACAGAAAAGGTCACGGGTACACACTCAAGTAAAGAAAAGAGATATGGCACAAAAGGGGGAAAAAATGGATTCCGACTTCGAGGACGAAATACCATCAGAAATCAGCGAAAGCGAAGAGATATCGAGTGAAGAAGACAACGACTTGCAAGAGAAAAAGGAAAAAGGAAAGAAACGGCCAATGAAAGGTGAATATAATGAGAACCCGTCCAAGAAGAGGAAGAAGTCGGGTGACAATCTGAGAAAATCAAAAGAAGATGTGCATATTGTGGGTAATTTTAAGGTAAATAACTAAATTTTTCTCTTTATTTTCTCAACTCCAATTTTATTGTAGTATGTTCAGAAGAAAAAAAAATACCATAATATTTTAGTTGTGAAATTATTATAAGAGTCTATATTTATTTGGCTATATATACATAAAGTTTATCCTTTTTGTTAATAAATATTTTTATTCATGCGTGATGTATATGATAATGATATGTTAAAGGAAATTTTTACAATCTCTTGTATAGTTGTATATGAGCATGTGCTGTGTGAATTTGTTATAGATATTAGGTTTTTTTGGAACAAAAGCTCAATTCTGTATATTATTTATGAACATGTTCTTTTTTTATGTGCTGCTTGGAAGAGAATGGGAAATCATTAATGTTCAACTATATCATATTGTGAAGAAAAGAAAAAAATCATTTAAACTGTTGCAATTCTTATTTACTGCGGTTTCATTATGAAGTTATTTGGAATATTAATTGATTCGTTGGTTTCTTGCCCACTTATTCTTTACATAAAAGATGTAACTTGAATTGTATTCCATGATGAGTTAGAGTACTTACAGCAAATGGAATTGACACAAGTTTATTAGTGATGATACATGACTTGTGCTGACTGATTGTGAAAACTTGTGTTTCAATTCATAACTTTGGTTCTAGGTTGTTAGTTTTATATTATTTGTTTTACCATGTATATATGTTGTATATGTTACTGTGATAAATGATTTTTTCTGGAATCATATGATATATATGTATGGAATATGTACAGAATATGTATAGAATATATGTTTTATATGTTATTGAGATTATATTTGTTTATATATTAAGGATATGACATGTACATAATTCAGGGGAAAATTTTACATGTACTATGTTGGACATGAGATTATTTAATACCCAGAACATATATAGTGATTTGTGATTCCATGTGTTTGAACTGTGAATAAGATGACTACATATATGAATAGTGATTATATGTGTGTATATATATCCAGAACTTGATACCTAAATATTCATTTTTTTTATCACCTGTATGTGAATTTTTGATTATATGTGTGTATATATTGAGGATATGACATATACATACTTCAGGGGAAAATTTTTACAAGTACTTTGTTGGACAGGACTGGGAATTGCTCATACCACTGTTGGAGTAGTATACCCGGCGTTCCAATCAGATTGGACGTATTCTACTTGTAA